AGCAACAACGGCCGCACTCACACACCACTCACCCACCGGATCACCGTCGCACCGCCGCCTCAAACACACCCACCGCATCACCACCGCACGCGCACACCTCCACAATCACCCCCACCATTCAAAAAAACAATGGATCTTAACGCAGCGTCGCAGGTGCTTGTGCAGCGCCGCCGGCGCAGATGCTTGTGCAGCGCCACCGGATGAATTCGGTGGACGAGCGGAAACGCCGTTGAGGATGCGTCTCCGGAAAACGGTACTGCATTCAATGTAGAATCGGAAGAACTTCTCTTCGTTCCGCCGTTGAATTTCGCGATGGTTGATTACGGGGTTTTTCGATCCGGCTTCCCCGACTCGCCTAATTTCCCCTTTTTGAAAACCCTAGGCCTTCGTTCAATCATGTAAGATTATTTTTATCATCTCTTTATTGTTTTGTTTAATTTCTGGGAAAAAAAAAATTGAAATTGATGCTCTGGTGTTATTGTAGATACCTGTGCCCGGAGCCCTATCCTGAAGCAAATATGAAATTTCTCAATGCAAACGGCATTAGGCTTTTTCAGTTCGGCATAGAAGGATCCAAGGTCCCATTTTTATTCCATACATAATTTTGCATGTGTGTGAAACAAGTTGATTTGCTATGACCAAGTTTTTCCCTTTGATTTATAGTATGATTTTGATTTTTTGAATTGTGAGAATAAATAGACTAAAACGGCCCCAATGTGAAATTCTGTAGGTATTAGTGCATCACTTTAAAAATAAGAAGGTAGTTCTAGGGTAATTGGAAAAAGAGGAGGAAAAACTGGTTTGTTTATTGGGGGCTTGATTCAAGTGCTTTACATTTGATTGTCTTTAGGCATCTCATCTTTATCATTCTTTTACTTTCTACATCATTCATATAGAGTCACGAATGCCATCAGATGGTTGACTGTCGTTCCTTTCTGATGAAACAATCTTAGGTTAGGTAAGTTAAATCACTATTGCTACAAATTGCTTGCTGCTTGAGGTCACCAGATCCGGACTAGATTATTGTTTTAGGTGGTTCTTTAGAATTTGTTTACTGGTTACTTAGGCGTTATTTGTAAGAGTCAACAAATTTGGACTTGGGCAGAACTTGCACACAAAAATAGAGGGTCTGTGTTGTAGTGAATGTCTTAATCAATAATAACATTCAGATTTCATGGAGTTATATCTCAATTCTTGAAAATTTTATTATTTCTCCAAGGTTTCCATCTGTTCTTCTTAGATGCTAAATATTTCATGAACTGAAGCAGTTTCCTCTACTGCTTCTGTACATTTAACTATAATTGATTAGTGGTTTTGAGGAAAAGCAGCTCTGTATATATACTACTAAATATTCTTCACTACCAGTAAAACTATGGATTCTTCCATTCTCCCACGTGAAATAGTTCTAATAAGAAAATTACATAACCACAAAGAATTTGAGTATTTTTCCTGTTCTTGTCAAGTTGGTGGAAAGTTTTGTGAATCATTGTTTGATAATCAATTCTTTTTTGTCGAATTGCATATTTGGTCCCTAACGTTTCAAAAACGTTGCAGATCTATCCCAACCTTAAAAAATGGCACTAGACTTCCCCGAGGAAATAGGCATGGTTTGTCCCTGTTGATAAAATCTGTCCAATTTGGCCATTAAAGTCGAGTGAAAGGACATATTTTCCCTCTTTAAATAATTGAAAAAAAAAAAAAAAAAACTAACAAAAGCAAAACAATAAATAACAAATAGATCCCCAAATTTTGACAAATAACAAAAAGACTCAATCCCAAAACCATTTATCTTCTTCACTTCACTTTACCCCACCACCCACCTACCAAAACACGATCACTGACCACCTCTGGTGACTCCACCTCCGTCCAACATCACCACTGGCCATTACTATCTTTCATAAATTTTATCACCTCAAATCCCTAATTTTTCTATCCCAAAAACCTATTTTTCTCACTATGAAATTAGAGTGTAACAAATGGGTGGAAATGGCAAGAAGGTACACAAAAGGAAAATAGCACCCACCCAAAATTTATAGACCTGTGACTCAAGCTTTTCTTTTGTAGAAAATATCACCCACCAAGAATTTTGTGGATGCTGGGAAAAATGTGATGAAGACTTTGAAAGCATAACAACAGGCTCTGTGTTTTAGAGAATTGGCCTAGAAATTGAAGAAAACAGTAAAAAAAGTGCGGAAGTAGGATGGATTGTGTGGTACTTTTTGCTTTAAATGTTGGACCTTTAAGCATTTTTGTGAGCTAAGAATGCAATAAAATTTCGGCATCAAACAAATTCTTGGGCGCTTGAGAGTTGTATACGAGTATTGTTGCCGGATTTGAAGAAGGGACCGTGAACTTGAACTTCAATGACAATGAAAACGTGGATGATAAAGAGTTAGATGATTTTGAAGTGAAATTGAGTAGATGGGTTTGTGGATCTTTTGTGAATTTTTAGTGGGGTTTATTGGTGAAAGGAAGGGAGGTGAATAGAGGGCTGCTATATATGTATGAAAGGAATTCAGGAAGATGAAAAAGAAAGGTGGAGTGGGGTGGGGTGTACATAACCCCTTACAGGTTGGTGCATATATACATGATGTAGTGAGATATAATTGGGTCAGAATTTCTTCAACAAAAAAAAAAAAAAACGTTTCCACTCTCTTCTAGATATCTCATTTGTAACTTTTTGTAACTCTTCATGTAGGAGTATTATTAGGGGTAGGGGTTGGGGTGGTGGCAGCAGGAACGTGGTGGCATAGATTTGGATTGGGGTGGTTGGGGAAGACGATAATTTTTTATTTCTTTTGATTTTGTAGTTAATTTTTTTCTGAATTATTTTTAATTGTTTAAAGAGGAGGACAAATGTTGGGGATGTTTGGTGTCACTTTTAAAGGTTGGGGGTAGATCTGCAACCTTTTTATAAGGTTGGGGACCAAATATGCTATTTCCCCGTTCTTTTTATTTACTCTTTTACTATAGCTTTGTGAAATACCTTTTAATGTTCATTTTTAAAGCTTTAGCTATTACTTAGTGGCAACTATGAGATCTCTCAGTTGAGTTAACTTGCTCGATTTTAGCTTTTTTCATGTGGATCGCTATTTGATTTTAAAGCCTGAATTATATAATGTGCAGGAACCATTTGTAAACATCCCTGAGGATTTGATTCGTGATGCATTAAAGTTGGTGCTGGGTATGGTGACAATTCAATTTCTGAATCCTGGGATTAAAAGTTTTATTTCTTTCCCTTGCTTTGTTTCTATGTTTTGCTCTTGAATGTTCTTGTAGATGCACGGAATCGTCCACTCCTCATTCACTGCAAAAGGGGGAAGGTACTAATTATAATATTATCGTTTCCCTAATTTTATTCTCCCATAATAATGGATCTGTGAACTAATATGTGCGTGTGTGATGAAGCACCGAACTGGTTGCCTTGTTGGGTGCTTAAGAAAATTGCAGAATTGGTGCCTATCCACAATTTTTGACGAGTATTTGAGATATGCAGCTGACAAAGCTAGAGTTGCAGACCAGAGATTCATGGAGCAGTTTGACATTTCGAGCTTGAAGCAGTTGCCATCATCATTTTCATATTCAAACAGTTAAAAGTTGGCGACTTCTCTGCCTATGCAAGAATTACGCTCCCCACTCTAATACCTGCTCCTTCAAGAGAACAAAAAAGAAAAATGGAAAAGAATTTTCATCTTATATGAGAGATTATACATTGTTAATGACTTACAGACAAATGAAGCTTAAACAGCTTTTTGACCACATCAATATGAATTCCTTTATTTTTTTTTTGGGTACATTCTTCACCTCTCGACCATCACTTCTTTTTATTTATAAATCCTGCTTGCTTATCAATTTTCCGCGTCGAGTTGATGAAATTGTTTTTTACGCCTCTTTTGTTGAACATTCTACGTGAATGTGGTTAGGTATCAATTTGTACCTCAAACCCTTTATATCGGGAAGCTGGAAGCACATTAGTATTTATGCCTACAAGAATGTGTGATGTAGGATAGGAGAAGGCAACAAGAAAGGGGAAAGAAACCAGAGAGAAAGGGGAGAATCGGAGAAGAAGCTGGGAAGGGGAAAATTTTGTTGGCTGCAAGCCAAAACCATTTTTTCATTTCATATAATTGTCGTCTGTCTAAATTACAATGTGAACATCATATAAATAGTTAAAGGGAAAAATTCACTTTCCCTACTTTATCTTTACCCTATTTCAAAAATAACAAAACAATTTTTACATTTCAAAAATCAGATTTTTTGACCTATATATACACATATTTATAAATATT